CTTTGGAGACTTTGATGTCCCTTTAAGGCCAAAAGTTTTAGCAGGTGGGTGCTGTCTTCTGTGTAGAGGCTTGAGAAGGAGGACAGAAGCAAACTGCGTATTGTGACAAAGTAGAACCTGCCGAAAACTCTGGATCCTCCCAATCCGCTTTTAAGGTTTGGGGAAAGTTAGGAAGGGCTCTGTGTAGCCCTGGGGCATCACCGGCCAGGTGCGTTGCCTTTCTTTCCGAGGTGTAAAGATACTGGTTGTCCTTACCGACCGGGGCGCTATGAAATGCACCACATAGGTCAGTTACAGTGAAGCATTTGCTGTCGGTGGGAATGGGTGTCAGTCACAGTGCCATCAGAGACCGCTTAAAAAAGATGCCGACGGGTCATTTATTTTCCCCAGTTGGCTATTTTGGTCACTACTGTCAAATTCTAGAATTATTTTCCTCTTTTGCGAGAAAGCAGCTTCCGGCATATTTTTCTAAGAAATCTGGGCCCAGCCGATGAATAGGCACAGAGGAGCCAGGGAAGAAAGCAGGTGCGTCTCTTAAAGGGCCTGGACAGATGGAAGCAGGTTCCGAGACAGGAGCCTGTCGAGATCGATCAGAGGCCCCCCACTCTGTGAGCCATTTTAGTACTCCGAGGCGGGGCCTGCTTTATAGCCGGGGTGTCAGTAAGGGCAGACACAGACTTAGCCCAACCTGGATAGTAGTTTCTGCAGGCTGCTTAGAGGGAGGATTGGGAAAAGCCCCTGTAGTTTCCTGTAGCCCCGTTGTAGAGAGCAAGATGGAGTCACTCATGTCAAGCAGGGGCCCAGGACACCCATCTTGAGGACCCTGGAGACTCTGATAACTCCTAGGGGGTGTGACTAGCAGACCTCCTCTGCTTCTGCGTGTTATGGTTTCTGGGGTTTCAGCTGATGGTGGGCTTGGTGCTATCTTGTGGCTGTAGTGCCCTGAACTGCTTGCGTCATTGCTTGACATGAGTGACTCCATCTTGCTCTCTACCCCTGTCCTTGGGAGTTAGGACGTTGTAAGACGCCTGAAGCTCTTATATTTGTAACAGTCTTTTCCCAGTGTCCTGGTTCTTTGAAATAATAGCAGAAACTACTCTTCCGGTTTTGTTTAGGGGACTTCATTTGCTGGAGCTAAACATCAAAAATTTTAGCCATCTTCCCCTTAGTTGCGTTATCTAGGGTGCGAGCAAGCTGGTTTGCCAGGTTACTCATATCTGAAGTGGATGTAGTTTCTCATCCCATCCTGGTCCTTTTAACTAAAAGGGAAGTTGGACTAGTCATTAATAAGCATAGAGTTAAATGTTACCTCGACGGATTCACCATCCAAACGAAGACCAGAATTTTTAAAGACAGTTGGGAGGTGATTGTAATAATCATGAACAGATTTCATCAAATTTTTGTGTGTAAGCCTGAGTTTTGTTCCAATCAACAGGCTTACGAAAAGCCATTATAATTGTTCAGTGGAGATTTCCAGTGAGTTTTTTCTATCATCTTGCCGAAAGGTAGGGGTCTGTTTCTAAATCCTGCTAAGGATTTTCCCATTGGGCTAGTTTCGTCCGGTGTTTGGCCTGGCCCTCACCAACAAGCATGTGCACCAGTTGGTAAAAATCTGAGAAACCAGGGTGGTAAGTTGGAATAACTATGTTAAATTCTTCAGCAAACCTCTGGGGTCCCGGTCATTTCAGGAAACTCTTTAACCATGGCTGGAAGTTCAGCCTTAGTTCAGATAACGTAAGAAACTTAAGGGTCTGTTTAGATCCTCAGAAGACTTAACATTAAAGGGGCACTTTTTAACTGGTTCAGGAGAGGAGAGAGTGGAGGAGCTTCTGAGGAAGGGAAGGTTTGGCAAAAGGACTAGAAGGAGAGGACAGGAGATGAGAGGGAACAGAGACGCTGGAAGAAGATGGCGCCTAGGGGGGAGGGGCTGCCTTGGACCTGGGAGCAGGGTGAAGAGGCCTCAGAAGCCGGTTTTTCTTTTTAATCGTTTGCCTCATTTAGTATATAAAGTGTATCTCGGAAAGAGGCAATTTCAGATTCCTGATAGTGTTTCGAAGCTTCAAAATACCAATTAAAATAGAAATCCCATTCAGTTTGAGAACCATGGTTGTTGTCCAGTTCAACTTGGAGAAAATTAAGTTCGGAAAGATTGACAGTTCCCCATAATGGCCATTGAAGTTCTAAATGACTTCTGGTTAAGCCAGTCCATTTATTTATAAATGTGCATGTGGAGGGACCATAGTTTTTAAACATAAAACCATCTGGAGTCCCAGGGGAGTGGTGGAGGGGGGGGGGGGGGGTGGCAGCATGCCCTCAGAGCATTTTGATGACTGGGTCCTGTTTCTTAGAGGTTTTTCTGGAACAGCCTGGTCCAGAAGGAATCAGATGAAAGGCCAGCACAATTCCGATAGGAACAGTCCGATTTTGAAAAGGAATCAGACTGAAGGCCAGCCTGGTTCTGCGGGAGGACTTTAGCTGCCTCCATTCTGGCCTGAGTCTGTAGTTTCTAATTAAGTTTCCCTTGCCAGCTTATCTCTTCCCGCAGGCCAAAGACCCTGAGGGCACGGCAGCAGCCCCTGAGAGGAACCGAAATTACCCCCTCGAGCAGTGGGCTGCTTCTGGCAGGCAGTCCCCCCACAGTTGACCCCAAGGCAAATGATGGATCGATCTGACTTTCTCTCCGCCCACCTGCCTGTCCCTTCATAACCTTTTCCCACATTTTCCTTATATACAACCAGACCTTTTTCTGGCACTTTGGAGACCATCTTGGAGACACTGGTCCCGCTGTCTTCCGGGTGGAAATGAGTTCTGTCCTGTTCCACCACCACTCCTTTCTCCACCTTTGGATCTTGTCAGTGGCTGGTAGCCAAAGCTGGTTTATGTGGGACCCCTGGGACCCCAGCTACGGTTTCATTAGGAACAGTCCCGTTCCTGACAGGAAGCAAACCGGAAGCTTGAATGGTTCCATCAGGAACAGTCTGAATTGTCCTGAAGGTCAAAGGAGGGGTCAGAGATACAGACAAAAACAGAAAACCCCAAAACCGAGGGCTTACACAGATCCCAAGTAAAGCCCGGAGAGCTTAGACACAAGGCATGAAGCTCAAAATCCTAGGAGAAAGCTTCCCCTGAAAACTCCAGGGTCATAGATAAGGCAGTGAGCCCCAGCAGCTCCAGGGGTACCACACCTGTTTGCTCACCAGCCCCGGGGCCTCTCTGGGTCGCATCTGATCACCGAGTAATGCAGATCTTGAAAATAGACTCTGCCGGTTACTTTCCCAGCAATCGACGGGTTGATTGGGAATGGAAGAATTGCAAACAAACAAGGTGTGGCAAGACTGTAGGCAAGGCAGAGGACCGCAGGGAGAGGTAGGCTTTTGAAGGAGAGAAGGGGGAGGTTAGGAGGGCGCTTAGGAACTAAAAGTCTCTTGGAGGAACCTGGGAGTTCAAAGTGTGGCGGCTTCTCATTGGCTGAGCTGTTCCCTGGGGCCCACTTCTTCCTCCTGCTGGAAAGGCAGAGTAGTATCCCTGCGCAAGGTCAAGGACGCCTCTTCCTCAGGTCTGCAGTGGATGAGGAGTTGGGAGGGCGTGAAAACTTCCACTCCCAAAACCTTCAGACTCCCACTAGTGAGGGTTCCCATTGCTAATGTTCACAGTAGATTATAAAGCAGTAGGTTTCTGTTTGTTTTTTTTTATAAAGTATGGTGTGTTAAGAGAAGATACAAATGATCCGTTAACATTATGGCATAATTCCTTCCCGTGTATGTTTTTACATGAATATACGCGTGTATTTAATAAGGTTCATGTTATTTCTTACTATTATGAATGAAATGTCTTTTGTTTCACTTTTGAGATGCAATTGATGACATTCTGTGAGTCTGAATGAAATCTTTTCAGCTTATATGTATATATTTTTGGGTTAGTGTATGAGAATATTACTGTTCACAGTAAAATGCTGACCTCTTTTCCCAGGTTTCATCTATGTCTGTGTAGTCTCTTAATTTTTGTTTTTTTGAGTTAGACCGTTATTGTCCAGGGTTTATGATGTAGAAGCTAAAGCTGCAGAGAAGTTACGTAATGCTAAAGAGGAGACAGCGTCAATAAATCACCTCGTATCCCTTCTTGAAACACCAAATACTTTATCTTGGTACAGTGTTCTTTCTTCAGTTTGGTTTTTGTTTAATTTGTGACGGCACACGCTTCTAGCTGCAGCACATCAGCTCTTCCTGAGGAGGGGCTGGCCTCTGCGTCCCTTCCCAGCATTCCCCACCCCGCCCCTCCACCGCCGGTCTCAGACCAGTGCCCATGGCCACACTGGGCTTCTTTAGGTCCCCGGATGTGACCTGTTGGCCTCAGTGATGTCACATGTGCTGCTCTTTTTGGAACACTGGTCTCCCCTCTGCTGACCACACCTTAAAAGCAGTTTCCTTGGGGGCACCTGGGTGGTTCAGTGGATTAAGCCTCTGCCTTCGGCTCAGGTCATGATCTCGGGGTTCTGGGATCGAGCCCCGCATCAGGCTCTCTGCTCAGCAGGGAGCCTGCTTCCTCCTCTCTCTCTGCCTGCGTGTCTGCCTACTTATGATCTCTATCTGTCAAAAAATGAATAAAATCTTTAAAAAAAAAAAAGCAGTTTCCTTAAAGGGGCCTCTGATGACCCGTCTCTTTAAACTCCATGCCCTCCACGCTCTCCTCTTCTCTGGGACCTCTTATTCCTCACCCTCATCACTCTTTGCGTAATACAGATGGCGATGTTACCTGTGTGTGTTTGGTTTGCTTCTTGGTTCTTTCTACCCAGCGTCAAGCACATTGTCTTGCAACAATATATGGAAATGGTAAATGTTGGGCAAATAAAATGGAACGACTATCTTTGGTTAATAATGTAATTTTCTTGTTATTAATAATAATTTGAAGTATTAAAGTTTTAAATGACTTAGGTTAATTTTATTAATGTTATCTCTTCCCTTCTCTTTTCCTGTTACAAAATCTGTGTCTTTATTTTTTAGAGTCGTGCTCCGATTTCGGCAAAACTAGTGGCCAACATGCTCTCAGTCGCTGGGGCCGATCACATCATCACCATGGACCTGCATGCCTCTCAGATCCAGGTTCCAGCATTTTCTTTCTTGCCCTTGTGACCAGGGGCTTAATGGGAGTGGTTAAATACTTACTGCGTTAAGTTAAATTATTTTCGAAGTGGGTAACATGACTCGTGTTTGAGTTTGTATGTGGTTGCTGTCTTGGATTTTCATCTTTACTGGGCTTGGAAACAGAGTTTAACAGTTGTTTCTGCTGTCTTCCGCCAATGCATCCAAATAGTTATGGAGGAGGGGGAATGGCTTCTTGGTAGTAAATTTTAGAACATGTCTGCAAAGATAATGGATTGGACTGACCTAGGTGCCCGGAACATACCTGTCTTTTGATTTAATTCTATTAAAATTCAGAAAAGGGAGTCTGTTGAAAAGGCTTCTTTCGAATAGAAAATCCAAATTTTACATAATGAAAGAGGGTATCTTGTTAAAAAAACAAAAAAAAACAAAAAAAACAAAAACAAAAACCTCTGCAGTGTGACACTGACTTCTCCCCTTAGGGATTCTTTGACATCCCGGTGGATAATTTGTATGCGGAGCCTGCGGTCCTGCAGTGGATTCGGGAGAACATCGCCGAGTGGAGGAACTGTATCATCGTTTCACCTGACGCCGGGGGAGCCAAAAGGTAGCCCAAATGCACAGTGATTTTTCTTTT